CACTAAAGTAAACAAACTGGAGATTAATAGCAAATTAACGAAAAATAAATTCAACAAACGTTGTGCTTATTAAATTTACGCACTTTAGTTATATACTAGCATTAATAATAAAATTTGCAATAAATAACTCAAAAAGGTCATATTTTCTTTTGTTTATTTACAAACATGTGTTTGTGATCAGCTGATTTTCTTACTTGAGTTTTCGCTGGGAAAAATTTTTCCAGCAGAAATTTGCAGCTCTCTTTCACATTTTGCTCTCTCAATTTCCCCTACTTTGCAAGTTTTTGGGGTACGAGAACGCAAAACCAGTAAAAGTTTTCTAAAACTTTAGATAGTTAGGCGTACGAGTACACACCTTATAACAGACAACAGCATGAGCATACTCACTTCCATCTAAATAGTATGAACTCAATGCTGTGAACTCTATACGGGTAGTGAGAAACACGATACGAACAGTGATATTCATAGTTAGTTTTGAAATAAATGTTTAGGTGCAGTGTACTCATTTGATTTCAAATATCGCATTGATATACTCTTTCCAAATCAAGTCAAGCGAATGAAAAACACTGTTATGAAAAGCAAGTCGAGCAATCGAATAACACTCATTGACTTCAAACAATTATACAGTAATACTAGGTTCACATATAAGTAGATTATCTTCATTTTCGAGCTTAACTTCCTAATCTGTAATTAGAAAAAGAGATTAGCCATATAAAATTCCTCCCGTGTTAATCTGTAATTATAAAATAATCTCAGATTTAACCGATAACTTTTCGGTGTCCATCCTAGTTTTATCGATTGTTTTTGCGAAGAAGAGGAGAAATGGCAAATGTAAAAGTAAACAAAAATGGACGCTGGCAAGGAAAAGAGGGTTCTAAAGGTATTTTTTTTAATAAAATGTTAAGTTAAAATATATCTATATTGCTCAATATAGCAGAAAAACGTGATCACGGTGGCACAGAGAAAAAAAAATAACTTTTCCTTGAGATGTGAGAATAACAAGCACAACAAATTTGACGGCTAATAATCTGAGATTTGCCTGTGTGAACGGTGCGATTAAAAAACGAGCTTTGATTGAGGTAATATTGATATGTGAACATAGTTTAAACCCATGATGCAATAATGAAAGGTGTTATACGTCGGCAACTTCTCGCTCTAATCCGCCATCTTGAACTACCTTAGGAGAAACTGTGTTGTTTCTTTGCTAATTTCACTGAACATTTCCCAAAATATTAGAAAAAAATTCTAAACAAGCTACATTGATTCAATTTTCGTTGTTCGTTTTGTTCTTATTCGCTGACATTTGTTTTCTAATTGCGTGAAATTTGGTAAGTATTGTAATAAAACCGAATTATTTTACAAATAAATTATAATTTTGCATTTATTAGGTAATTTCCTTAGTGTTTTCCTGGCCGACCTGTGCTGGTATTGTAATTAAGAGCTAATACACGTAAGTTACAACATATTATTTTGACTTCATTGATGAACCATTCCATTTGCAGCATTCTCTGGTGAACTGCAGCTGCGGCCGAATTTGATTGTGTGCATCATCATGCAGATATTTTGAAGTAAGTTGGAACCAACTCTTTGTTATTTCAAAACCTAATGAACCATTTATTCGCAGATTTTGTGGACGCTTCTGCTGTGCTGCGTTCCTCCGCCCGTGTATTGCTCCGCCCGTGTTTTATAGTGTTGCGTTCCTGTTGCGCCTTTGCATTAGTGTGTGCGTTGTGCTTTAGACACGTTGAAGTAAGTTGAAACCAGGTTTTTGTTTGTTAAAAACCTAAAAAGCCATTCATTTGCAGATTGTTTCTATGCTTCTGCTGTGCTGCGTACCTGCTTCACCCGTGTATTAGATTGCAGCGTTCCTGTTAATATAAACATCGTCGTTTAAGTACAAAACCGCGTAACTGACATTTGCTGCTAAAAATTGGATTTGCTCACACAAGTTCTTGCCTCAATCCTTATCCATTCTTCCTGAAACATACTAGCCAAAAATGCGATTGCTTTTTAAAAAAAGATAAACCATTTTGAAATATGAGTGTTTTCACTCTCTAGAAAATAATTTATGCAACCTCGCTGGGTTTGCTTTATCTTGATACGCGGTTTTGCATTTTATTGATACACGGTTTTGTACTTTAAACGACGATATGTAGATGTATGTACATATATATCACATATATTGAATTAGATACATATGTATGTATAGACAATTAATGATGCGTACATAATTTTTTTTATGTTGAAACTAGATATGTAGGTATATAGCAAGAATGATAGAATACAAGATTGCGCCGATCAGAGAGGATTTTTGAGAATAACTTTTGTGTGACGTCACACTGGTGCAATTGCGAGAGAGAAATGCCAAAGCGTGAGCAAGAATGGAAGAAGAAGAAAAAATGTTGCAAGGAAAACGTAAACAAGTTGCACCAGTGTGACGTCATGCAAACAACGATTCTGTCAAATTCGTTAAGAGAGGAATAACGGTCCGAGATCGGCGCAACCTTTGTATTCTCTCAATCGTGGGTATATAGTATGTTATTATTATTATTTGGTTCAAAAAAGTCCTATCTCAAATGAAAATACTTTGAAAATGTGCTGAGATAGGGCGTTTTTGGATCGCCAGCTGAGATAGGGTGTTTTTGAACCGAGTTCTGAGGTAGGGCATTTTTCAGTCAAATTCTAAAGTAGGGCGTTTTCCAACCACATTTTGAAATAGGGCGTTGAAAAGTTGTCTGATGTCGAGTGTTTTTCGATAGTCGCATTTTTCGGTATATGGAAGACGATTAAACACCATTTGTTTTTATATCGATTCTAAAAAATCAACGGTAATTTTTAGCCACTTCAAACTTGCATATAATAAGACTTAAATTGAAGGGGCTATAAAACTGAGTGCTCAAAAAAACTGTAACACTTCTGAGAAAAAAGTGTGAATTTTGGGTGAAAATTTGTTGTATTTTTTGTAGTTTTCTACGAAGTTTTAAAATTGGTTTTATATGGGTTTTGTTAGAAATTGAAGTTTATTTTTATTGCAAATTCTTAGAAATAAATTAACATGAGAGGGAAATAATATCACTTTGAAATGGGGTTGCTATTGATATGACCGATACCGTATGTATATAATAAATTTTGTACAATTAAAAATGAAAGTGGATTTACTGAAATGAACACAACGTATTAATTATAAATTCTGAAATATATTGTTTATTTCAAAAACAAATAAATAAAACATTAAAAAGCTTGCTGTATGACTCGAACTTGGATGTACGTGAACTTGGGTAATGTATAATTGTTTATATGATTCCTCAAAGTATCACTTATATAACACTGTGGAACACAAAAAAAACCTTAGTGCGAATATATCAGGTTTAATAGCTGTTGGCCATACCAATAATGCCTCATACTCCGATTTACTAGATCAATTCGTGTTCACCGAGAAAAAAATATTTCACGATCCAAAAATCTGAAAAATCTTTTTTCTCCAAATTTTGAACATTTATCGTTTTTGGTCTATATTTTGTGGCAAATACCATACAAAGCAAATATAGGCCAAAAAACGAAGAATTTTCAAAATTGCGAGAAAAGAATTTGGCCGCTATACTCAGATTTTTGAATCGTGAAATTTTTTTTCTCGAGAACACGAATTGATCTAGTAAAACTGAGTATGAGGCATTATTGGTATGGTCAATAGCTATCAAACCTGATATATGCGCACAAGAAGCCCATTTGAAAGAGGGGGACAAAATATCACACGTAAATGAATTCCTCTATTTGGCCTGTACAATATAAGGGAAACATTTCAAATTCATAAGGGATAATTTTCTTAGTGATGCGACTTATATAAGGAATTATATATGCCATACTGTTCTAGCTGTGTATTCATCAGCTCAAAAATTTTAAGCATATTATCATATTCCTGTGAATAAAAACACGCCTAATTTTATTATTTTAATTATCTACAACTTTATGAGACTACCAAGCCATATATATACCTATTCAGATAATCGGAACGTTGTTGAGAAGGCTTATGCTTAGTACTTTTTCAACTAAAAGGCTTTTTTCCTTCCTTTTTGGTTGTTGTTGTTTCCGACAGGGTGGGTGTATGATGTATTTTGGAACGAATTTCCGCCATCCCTTGTCAAATTTGGTTTGGAGACAAACCGGTTTCGGCGTTGTGCCATCTTCAGTGTCATTTTTCGTTCTGCATAATTTTTATTATGCTTTTTTTCTTCCCGTTTTTCTTGTACTTCCAAAATACAATATTGACCTAAGGTAGTTCGATTTCGAGCTGTCACAACGTACAACACCTTTCATTATTGCATCATGCAGTAAACCAGCCATTGACAATATGCTTATTTGAAAATTAATACATGAACGATTGTGCATGTGTAGGATTTTTTTTGTCATTAACCCATAGGCAACGGCTGGTGCAGAAGTACCGACAAATGTTTGTTGATATACTCGAAATGCAAATTTAAACAGAAAAATGCATAAAGAACATAATAATAAAACAAAAGTATTGTTAATTACTACATGGGAGGTGGGCGTAGTTATTGACAGATTTCGCCAAAATTCAATACTAACCTAAACTATACCAAAGGCAGCTTCGGCACCGACTTTTGTTAAAATATCTCAATTTTGTTCGAGTTAGCGTATTTACAAACAGACACGGCTGAACCAATTCTTCTCGTTATCGATGATCGTTGTGACCATTTTCCAAAGGCAGCCCTTATTCATTCAATTATTCACTCAAAGTTGTGTCCGGAACGCGGTATGACTTATGTAGGAACTTCATTCGGTCACAATCGCTAACGCTTCACTCCTGATTTTCTTGGAATTTTATTTTTTCCGTTATTTTATTTTATGTGACTTTAAAACATTTTTCACTATAAGAAAATATTAAATTTGATTTCATTTGGGTTAACGCAAACGACAACTGTAAAAAATATCAACCAATACATTCAAACAAATTGTCAAATAAGCATATTTACATTTTTAGTTTTGCCTATCTGGATTACTGTATACTGTGGAAAATACAATTTTGAAAAAAATTGATATTGATGAAGTATTTTTTTAAATATATTAGGTTTATTAAATTATTTAATTATCCACCTGATGTACATTTATATAACTAGTCTACAAAAGAAATGCACTGTCACCTCAGAAGACATCGGCTTTATAAGGGACTGAAAAATAAGTTGCTTTATTATTTAAAAACAGTTGCTGTTGAAAACTAACAGATTTGCACAAAATTGTGCTTTTTTTATACCCGCCAGCAAAATAGCTGAAGAACTTTACCGAACCTGAGCAAAGGTACACAAAAGAGAAATGTTTACAAATGACGAGAATGTTAACTGAGAATTCTGACAGTACAACGGAACCACAAATTGCGGATACACTTTTGTTACCTTCAGACAAGTTTGAGCTGTTTTGAGGTCTTCTTAAACAACCTACCTTTGCGAGCAGAACTGATAAAGCTACTGCAGAGCTTCGGCGATATGAAAATATTGAGGTATATTTTCATACGGACTTCGATATAATTAACTGGTGGGAGGTACACAAATGCGAAATGTCGCTGCTGCATAAACTCAGTCATAGAGTAATAGCCACTCCTTCAACTAGCGCATCGTCAGAAAGTTTTTTCTTCAGCTGGAAATGTTATTCCTTTTGTCAAATGTTGATACGTTTAATCAGTTGATATTTTTGCATTATAATATGCCGTTAGAAAACCAATAAAATTAACAAAAATTGTCTTTACAAATTGTTTTTCTTTGATACTTTCATTACAGCAGTTATGGCATGCACTTGTTTTTCCAATCAAGCACTTGTTATTTGAATCGAGCACTTGATAGTGTGAATTACTCACTCAATTGACAATTTTTTTGCAATGCTATCGCACGTTATGTTTGGAAATAAATGAGTGCGAGTGTGTGCAGATGTGAAAAGAAAGCGAGTGACTTAAAATGTAATTTGAGTGTATCCTTGCAGCTCTCTGGACTATAACGCTTGACAGAAGAATTTACTTTTAAATTTCAAAGTCAGAATTAACATCAGTGATGACAGGTAAGTCCCAGATGGGTTCTAATATCACAAAGTTGCTTTTGGGAAAATTGCAGATAGAGGGTATTGAATATAAGCCCTCGGTATACATACATACATAGTTTTCAAGTTGACAAAAAATATTAATTTATTAAATATTTAGATTTCGAATTGCAAAATAGTTTATTAAAAATAAAACTGGTATAAAGATTCTATTTGATATTTAGGACTGTTTGTTGCAATTTTATTTGGCCTTCATATAGAAGACCGATGTACAGACATCTTTTCACATTTTAATTTTGTGCTTGCAATAAGTTAATTAAAAAATATTCTCTAATTGCTATGCTAAATGGAAGTTTGCCAAAACACATTTATGCAAAAACTTTGGCTTGTACCGATTAAAAGAAATGCGAATAAATGTAACGATGGTTTAAAAAATCAAATAAATATTTGAAGATACGATCCAAAGAAGTTTCGCTTATGTATTTCGAGCAGAAAAAGTTCATTTGGCTTTCTTAGATTCTTTCTTTTTATTTGTTCCACTAACAGGACCAGATCCTTCTTTATTATCTTTTTTCTCTGGTTTTTCTTCAGGATGATCTTCGTAACTAAAAAATTTAAAATTAATTAAAAATTTTCTGCAGCAAAGCAAAGGTGAACTTACGCAAAAAGTGTCTTCAATTCTCCTCTCACTAAAGCGACCAATAGTGGAGTTCCCATGCAAGCGGGAACTAGGTAAAGCAGTGCCGGCTGCGCAATTTTGAAAACATGCATTACGAATATTGTTGCCAAAAGTCCCAGAAAATATGCTACAAGTGTGGAATAGAAGTAAATACGGCTCTTTCGTTTAGAGCTATGGTCGAATCGCAGAAGTAATGCTATAAAGATTCCAGGTATTACTATATCACCCAGGCCCAACATTGCAAAATTGGTTCCACTTAAGCCGTTTGTTGGTAAATCTTGTGGGAAAACCAGTTTTATAGGTGCTTCGAAACTTTTGGCAACTGTGACCATGACGTTTGTTCCGAATACCCAGAAAATGTCGTAGAAGAACAACCCACTTAGCAAAATACATCCAGTCACAATATTATTTAGATGGAGAAGTT